TTCAGCAATGATACATCTGATAAGAGGTTAATATGCAAAATTTGTAAAGAACTTATACAACTCAATACCAAAAAAAAATCCAATAAAAAAATGAGCAGAGGACCTGAATAGATATTTCTCGAAAGATGACCGATAGACATATTAAAAAACGCTCAATGTCACTAATCATCAGGTAAATGCAAATAAAAACCACAATGAGATACCACCTCACTCCTGTCAGAATGGCCATCATCAATAAATCAACAAAAAACAAGTATTGGTGACAATGTGGAGAAAAGGAAACCCTTGTGCACTGTTGGTGGGATTGCAAACTGATGTAGTCATTATGGAGAAAAGTTTGGAGATTCCTCAAAAAATTAAAAATAAAACTATCTTATGACCCACCAATTGCCCCTTCTGGGTATTTATCCAAAGAAATCCAAAACACTAATTCAAAAAGATGTATGCACCTCTATGTTTACTGCAGCACTATTTGCAATAGCTAAGATATGGAAACAGTTTAAGTGCCCATCAATAGACAATTGGACAAAGAAGATATGGTACATATATATGATGGAATATTGCTAAGCCATAAAAAAGAATAAAATCTTACCATTTGCAACAATATGGATGGCCTAGAGCAGCGGTTCTCAACCTTTCACAGGGTCCCCTAAGACCATCGGAAAACACATATTTTCGATGGTCTTAGGAATGGAGACACCGCTCCTCTATCCGTCTCCAGGCCCATATGCAGATATGCCCACATACGAGTACCCGGCGACCCCTGTGAAAGAGTCGTTCGACCCCCAAAGGGGTCGCAACCCACAGGTTGAGAACTGCTGGCCTAGAGGGTATTATGCTAAGTGAAATAAGTCAGTCCGAGAAAGACAAATACCATATGATCTCACTTATATGTGGAACTAAAGAACAAAATAAATGAACAAACAAAACAGAAACAGACTCATAGATACAGAGAACAGACTGATGGTTGCCGGAGGGGATGGGAGTGGGAGCTGGGTGAAGAAGGTGAAGGGATTAAGAAATACAAATTGGTAGTTACAAAAATAGTTATGGGTATATAAAGAACAGCATAGAGAATATAGTCAATAATATTGCAACAACTATGTATAGTGCCAGGTCGGTACTAGACTAATTGGGGGATCATTGCATAAATTATATGAATGTCTAACCACTATGCTGTACACCTGAAGCTTATATAAAATAATATTGAATGTTCAACTGTAACTGAAAAAAAATTGAAAAAGAAAGAAAATAGAAGAATCCTTTTTGCGTAATTACTAGAAATATGGCCTTCAGGACTAGGTTACTTAAAAAAGCAAACAAACAAAAAACATATATGTGAATACTAGATCAAATGGGCTCCACATTCTTTCTCTGGCCAAATAAAAACTTATTCTATTACTCGAAATTGGGACACGGAATGCTCCCTAATTGGCGTCAATGCAATGAAGTCATTACTACGTGTTTCCTTTAGGATTGTGCACAGTTGTATTTTATTGACAATTAGCAATTCATCTGGTGTCCCTAGTGTGGAGGCCTAGGGCAGGCTGTCCCAAGATAGCTCACAATAGCATATTGATTATTTTCAACTAAAATCACCTGAAAAGCAGCAAAAGCAGGAAGAGCTCTCTGATTCTCCTCTGTCCCCCCAAAGCAGGAAGTAAATCTTCATGATAAGTTGCCTCCCAGCTCCTGAAGGGCTGACAGAAGCAACCTTAGCACAAGAGTAATAAAATCCAGAGTTGAAAAAGTGCGTATAAACCAACCTTGGAACAGCATTACTAATTTATTGATTTACTACCCAAGCCCAAACTTTGTTTAGATTCCTCACTAACGAACACCCAAACCTGCTTAGATTCCTTTGTAATGAGCACTAACTTTCTTTATCCCGCCCATTTCTCATATATGTTTTGCTTCTTTGTCTAAAAACTATAAAAAGATGCCTGGTTTGATCACTTCTTTGAGCCTCATTTTATGATCTGAGTATCATATTGTGATTCTCACATGTGCACATATTAAATTGTTTTTTTCCTCCTGTTAATCTAGTCTTGTGTCAATTTTATTATTTTATAATTAGTCCAGCCATAAGAACTAAAGAAGGGTAGAGTGGGGAACTTCTGTCCCACTCCCCAACAATATCAAATGACTAATGTTTTAAAAAAGGAAAGGAACATTTTTGAGTAGTGTGTAATTAGTTTTTTAACGTTTCCCCCTTATTTCCTATTTTCCATGTTATCTAGAATGAGCACGTATTCACTGTCTTTTATAATGAGAAAAAATATGGATATATCTTTAAAACCAAGTAAACCCTCAGTGCTCTAGGCATTGAAAAGGAAACTGTTTTTACCACAAAGGCCTTAGAAGGCAAAAGAAGCAAAAATTAGAAACATGCAGAACAACTTCTAAGGCCAAATATTCTTTGGTGGTTTTGTTTTGTTGATAGGTTGGTGACTATGCAGTAAATGCTTAGTTTGTGAACATTTTCTGCTGGCTGCCTTCAGCCAGCTTAAAAAAAAAAAAAAGTTGCAGTACATTTAATCTTTATCACTCCATAAATGTTATACACAGCAGGCAGTTACAGTAAACTGTGGCCTAACTAGCATTTCCAGGCAGGTAGGCCCTCTCTGGATACCATTGCTGATAAAGGCGGCAGCTTGAAAGTGTTCTTTAGCCAAGGTAATTCTGAAGGGAGTAGTTACAAGGCAGCAGCATTGATTGACTTTGCAGAAGTTGTTTTGATCCTTTGGCTCTTTGAGTCACACCTACTAATTATTAATTCCAACTGTGTGTTGTTTGAAGCAGGCAATGTAAAGAAAATAAGCAAAAAAAGGTTGTACCACCTACACCTCATTTGCAATGCATTCTCTCCCAAAGTTCATTTGATATGAGGAACGTTTATTATTCTTGCAACGATTTTTTGCTACTTACCGCAAAAAATCACTATATTAAATGCCTTACTCAACATTCCAAACTGACTAGGGTGGTGCATTGAGAGCAATATTGAGAGCAATAATAATAACTAATAGTTGATAATTTTTAAGCAGAGACTATGAGGAACTATGCCAGGTGTTCTGCATACATCATCTATTCAGCCCTCACAGTAATTTATGAGGTAGACATTTATAATCTCCATTTCACAGATGAGTGGAAGTGAGTGTGGCACAACTTTGGGTGCCATACTCAGGACTTTTGACCTTGAAGGTTTTCCGCAGGGAAGTGTCTATGTTTTCAAAAGATGATTCGAACGACTGTGCATAAGGTGGCCTGATGGTGAAAAACACCAAATGGATGAAAACTAGTTGGGAGATCATCATTCACTCTGTATAGACACTCCTACTCTGCAGAACAATAAATGTGCTGAGGACTTAATGATCTTGTGTCTTTCTACTAATTTTTCATCTTGCGGTAGTTCCATTCTCCCCTTTACCTCCTGGGAAATTCCTACTCCACCTTCAAAAGCTGGTTTATGGGACATTACCTCTATGAAGAATTAGCTGACATGTTAATGGCCTGTGTGAAAGGCAGCATAGTGCAAAAGCAAGGGCAGGGAGTTGGGAGTCAGGCTGAACTGCTCAGCCTCTAACAAACTGTGGCCTTGGGAGATGCCTTAACTTTTCTGAGATTGCTATCTCAACTCTATAATGCAAATAATATTACCTAACAGGCAAAGTGGTTGTGGAAATTCAGACGATACTGTGGTAATTCATAAGTCTCTATAATCAGTGTCTATTTAAGTAGTTCGTCAAAACCTCTCCCCATCCCCACCCTCCATGGAAACTGAATTGTACCATTATCCATTTTTTCTTAGCAGCCCAGTTCCTCCCTCTACTCAAACATTGCCACATTAGGTTGAAATGACATTAGCTCCGTAGTTTTCTCCTGCCATAACTAGATTCTGCCTTCTTGCCTATTATGGTAAGTTGAATAACTCCCCCTGAAAATTTCCATGCTGTTGTGCTTGGACCCTGTGAAACTGTTACCTTATATGGCAAAAAAGATTTTGAAGATGTGTTAAGGATCTTAAAGTGGGAACATTATCCTGGATTATTCAAGTGGGCCTGACATAATCACCAGGGTCCTTTTAAGAGACAGGCAGGGTATAAGAAGTAGACGGGGCGGAGGTAACAACAGAAGCAGAGGTTGTAGTGATGTGGTTTGAAAATGGAGGAAGCGACCATGAGCTAAAGACTGGATGTGGCCTCTAGAAGCTGAGAAAGACATGGATGGATTCTCCCCTAAAGCCTCCAAGGAGGACTGCAGCTTGGAGCTTAGCCTGTAGGTCCCAGTTTGAACTTGGGACTTCCAGAGCTGTATGATAATAAATTTGTGTTGTTGAAGCCATTGAGATTGTGGTAATTTGTTATAGAAGCAATACCTAACACACACAGTTTGCAACAACTTCCGTTCTCCCCAAAGTATAGCAGTGTCTTCCTAAAGCATGAACAAAAATACAACTTTGCACCTGTCCTGGTTTCTACAGCTGTTTAAATGTAATTTCAATATCTTTAATGGGAAGAGATTCATGGAACAATGGTAAACTGAACATCAGGTTTTACTGAACATGAGAATAACGAGGAAAAAAATCTAGTCAAGACATTTGCATGTTTAGAGCAACACTCATGGTATTTAATGCAATGTAATATGAACCGATTCTATAGGTTTGCCAAATGCAGGAGTAATTACAGGCAGTAATGTGGACACATTTTATTTTTGTGAAATGGGAACATTAAGGACCAATAAAGCATAAATTATTTTAATGTCCTTCTTTGGAAAATATCAGTATATTTCCATTAAGTAGTAGATTCTGGTTTAATTTTTGTTGATTTTCTAATGCTGGGGTAGAATCTTAAAGGAATAAAAACAGAGTCTGATTTAATTTTTTTAAGTCCAGTAAAGCTTAAGTGCTATTAATATTTATCGACATAGCTAATTATAGCATTAATGTGTAAATAAGTAGCTATTAAGTAACACAATCACATAAATATGTCTTAGCCCACATATAACACCAAACAAAAACAGTCTTTATTAAACCAAATCTTTCTTCAAAATATAGTTTTGCTTAAAATTCTGGAGATTTTTTTCTTGTAGGAAACTGTGATGTGTCAACACCATTTATTTGCTCTGTTAAGAAATATTTTTAATAAACCACAACTTGATTTATTTTCTTTATTTAGAATTTGAAGGATAATAAAAACATTAGATTTTTCCACAGTTAGATTGAAAATGAAAAAACAAAACCAAAACACATTATATAGCAAATGTGCAGATTTAGGTAGCTAGTGGTTTACGCTCGACAAGTTTCCTGATTATTTTCTTATACTTGGTGGCTTGTGGATCCAGGCAAATTTTCCTCCCATTCTTCAGCGTGGCTCTGCAGGGAAAGGGGAAGATGTCAGCCTTTCAGTGGATAGCTCTGAACATGGGATTAGGCTCTGGGTGGAGTGGGGTGTGGAACGGAGATAGGAAAGGGCAAAGGAAGCAGAGGATGGGCGGAAGAAGCAAATGTCAGGGTGAGGACTCACATCAGTTGGGAGGTGGGGCAGTGGGGTCCGGCCCCGATCACCTCCAGGCTCATAATGTGCTTGGGTTGGACTCGGGAGGTGCTCAGCACACACATGCACTGCAGTTCCGCATCTCCTTCTTCAGGGTCTGCTGAGGGTGGGGAGGGGGTGGGGGAGACATGAGAGTAGTGTAGGGATAGGTGACTCCTAGAATTGCTAAACGTTCCTTAGGGATCTTTCTCACTGCATTTGGCCTTCATTCCCTCGTCTACAAACCATACCTATCTCAGTAAAGAAGTATTATTGCCCAAGTGGTGGTGACCCGCACGAAGCAGCACTGGGCACAGCGCCTGCACACTTAACAGGTGCTCAGTAAAGCGCAGCCAGTATCGCCGGCAGTTAAGGACTCCGCCCCAGCCCCAGGGGTTCCCGACCTCTCTCCCCGCCTCCCCCGGCCTTGCTTCTGTTCTCACCACTGACGCGGGCGACCACAGCTGGCAGCAGCAGCAGCAGCCCCAGGAGCAGCAGCCCGGGGCTGGGCCGGAGGCTGGAGGCGCGCAAGTCCGCTCCTACGCTCATGACTCGAAGGTGCGAGAGTACAGGGCAGTCAGGGCCGGTGCTCTGCAGACCAATAGTGCGCACACCCTCCAGGCCTGTTTTATCCCCACGGTCCGGAAGCCTGGCGTGGGGGGTGAGGAACTGTGGTGCGAGGACTGAGAAGAGTTGGGCTCTGGCCAGCCAAGATTAGGAAAAATAACAATGAAAAGCCTGAGTCAGCTGCCTTGCCTGCGAGTTGGTAGCAGGATCCACACTCCAACTCGAATTCGTATATATGCGTTTGTGGAGGTAGAAACGGTTCTTTAACCTTATAAAATGTGTGTGCTCTTTGTAATGTGTAATGAGTTCTTAGTAGTCATGTTGCAATTTACAAACCATATGCCTTCAAGACTGAAACAGTTTCTGTTCTCTGCCAGTCTCCCAGCTTCTTTATCAAGAACTGCTCATTCGCTCCTGCTGTTCTTGTTGAGGTTTGCGGCTGTGAAAGTTAAAGATGTGTAGTTTGTAACTGTTTTTCTGCTACTAAAAAATTGAATTTACTCTCCAGGCAGTGACTGGGTTGTGAATTTCCCCCTGAAAGTGGAAGGCTTCCTCGGTCTCTTGAATGGGATCTACCAGCTTTAGCAACCATCATCCATATACTCTAGGAAGCAAGGTCTATGATCCCCATTGATCCTCTTTCTTTGAGAAAAAATGTAAAAGTAGTATTAGAATGCACTCTTTCTGCAGAACTTGGTGGCTGGATGTTTGTTCATTCTGCTCAGCCAAGGAGGGAGGTCAAGAAGGAGAATTTGCAGGCTACATTTCCCAGTGCCTGCTGCCACCTGGGCCAGTACCAATGACAGGGTGAGATGGGCTGCACTGTTGGCAGGAGCAGTGATGCTCTCAAGAGGACACAGAGCATCTGGGAGTTGTGTAGAAAAGACATGGAAGAGAGCGTGGAGGGCATGCAACAGAATCCTGCCCCGGAAAGGGAGAGAGCGATATGGACCATCTTCCTTTCCCTGAAAAAGAATGACTTTGGCTCTTGATCAGGGCAAAATATGCCCTCATCTCAAAGTCAGGGGTTCTCTTCACACTGATTTCCGGTGGTGAAGGGCACCAGGATCCCACTGCGTAGAACTAGCTGACCTCTTAATGCTCAGCACAGCCAGGCTTCTGCAGGACTATGCAATTTAATTCCCGGGCCGAGAATGACCTTTCTCTTACTCTCCCACCACCTGACCTTTCATCTGACTAAGTCCTATTCATATTTCTGGTGTCAGCTTAAATATCACTTCCTCAGGGGGCCTTCCCTGACAGCTGAAAATCTAATTGTGTTCCCTGCTGTTGTCTTGGAGCACCCTTTGGTTTTCCTATTTCTCACAGACCACACACACACACACACACACACACACACACACACACACACACACTACAGCTCAGATATACATACATGTGTGTGCCCGTGTGTTTAAAAGTCTTTAAAATTGTTTCTCTTCCTAAATGAGAAGCTCTATGAGCTGAGGGATCATAATGCTTACCACTATTCTAGTACACTGGTGGACTATAGGGACTCAATATAGAGTTACTACATTAGGAAAGATAATACATGTTGAAAATGATGATGAAGCTTTGACTTGTTCATGTGTCTGTTTCTTCGTGCAGTTGGAGCATACCTCTAATATTAATAAGAATCACATGTGGTTGTGATTATTTGTCAACCTGTCTGCCTCTCCCACTAGACAGTGATCTCTTCAAGAGCAATTCTCTGTGACTTATATGTTCTTAAATATCCAGCATCCAAACACAGTGGCTGGTACAGAATATGTTTATTGAGCTGAAACTTGGGTTAGTGGTGGAGAAAATGGATAGGGGGGCTGGTTTTGGAGATGGATGGGCAGCATTTTGAATTTGTACAAAGTTACCCCCAGAAGCAATATTTGCAGTGTAAAGGAATCCAGGGAGTAGTAAATGACAATTAAATCATTCTTTCTCTGCATCTAAATGGGATGATTTTATATGTGCACACAAAAATAAAAGCTATATCCATCTCAGGAAGTATTAGCATAGTGTAAAAACTATGTCGTATCTCAGGAGCTGGCACTATTGGATTCCAGTAGGAAAATACAAAATAGCTGAGCTATTTTGAATTATTGAAGAAAAACTAATGGCAATGCCTGCAATCCCCATTTACTGCTTCATTGCATGTTTATTTATGTATATTTTTAGTTAACTTCCACTTGATAAATTAATTTATTTTGTAGACAAAACACCAAACCTATAATGGTGAGGAGATAATAAAAGGAGACCTTAATAATGCAAAGTTTGTAAACTAAATGCTTACTCCATGAATGCTTCCCAAAGCCCATGCACAGGTTGGGGTAAGTGAACTTATTTTTTCTCCTGTAACTATCATAGTATATGCAGCATACAATTTATGTATCAAGTCCTATTTTGTGTGTCAAAAACATTATGTGACATATAACATAATTTCTTCATTAGAGAAAGAAGAATAAAGAAAAGTAATGTGGTGTGGTTAAGAGCATAATTTCAAATCCCCACTTTGTCACCTACTTAGTTATCTGATCTTAGGACGCTTTAAACTTCAGTTTTCTTCTTTGTAATGCTGGGGATGCTAATAGTAATAATAACAAATAATCTCTAACCTTTATATATGGGTTATTGTGTCACATGCATTATTTTCAGCACTTTGAACATATTAACTCTTTTAATTTTCACATCAACTCTGTAAGATAAGCAATATTATTATCCTATTTTAAAGATGAAAAAACAGGCGCAGAGAGGTTTTGCAACCTGTCCAAAGTTGCACAACTAACAAGTGGTAGAGCTGAGTTTTTCTCTCTCACTGCTACCCAGTTATTTTCTCTCCAGATGAAGTGCTCTTAAGCAGATCATAGCTATCTTGTAAAAAATATTTAATTTACGCATGCAAAGCACTTAAATTACCTGACATATTAAAAGTCATTAATAAACTTTACCTATTATTATAGTATCTTGAACATAATACATACTATCAACTAGTGACTTTTGTTAGTCTATTGTGAATACCAAAGTGTGAAAAAGAATAAAAAAGATAATTAAGGCTTTTTTTCCTCAACAATTCTGTTAAAATTAATAATATATGACAACAATGCCATAACAAAATTTGATTTTATGTTAATAGTCCTATAAGAGTAGTGTGGGTATAAATTTAAAATATTAAGAAATGAATGAAATTTCTATTGAATATAAAATAAAAATTAGTAGTCTGGTAAAGTTTAAATTCTCTATTGTATTTATTTGCAAGGCTGATTCTAATACTAAAATTGTAACCATGCAGATATTAAATAAATGCCAATATGTACAAACATGCCAGGGTAAAACATTTAGTACCATGTAGAATCTGTATCATTGTTATTCTTGTTGTAGGAAATACTGGAGTTTTTTTTTATAGAGCATGTTAATGTTTTTATCACATAATTTCTGCTCTATTGGAATGAAATATATTCACTTTAAAGTAAATAACCACTGCTTACAAGACTCACATTCTAAACTTTATTAATTGTAGGGTTTGAAGGCCAAAATAAACATTAGAAAAATCTTTCAGAGAATGCTTTGAAACCAAACATCCTAGGACTAAGACAATGAAGAATTCTATTACGTCCCTAAATACATTAACAAACATTTATTGAGCCCAGTTCTATGATGGGCTCTGTGTGATTCCTAATATCATTGACCATTATGGAATCTATTAACTGTCATGAGCATGTCTCATCTGACAGCCAAGTAGAGCAAAATAAGTTAACACAAATGTATTTAGAAAGAAAAGTTTAAACAAATGAAAAGCACAGTACTACATTCAGCCAAGAGTTAAGAAATAAACCACATATTATATTTTAAGACTAGGCTTGCTTGCTTTCATCTTCTCTCTGTCATCTATTAACCAATCTTCTCAGAATAAAATGTAACTTTTTGAAAGAGAATAGAAAAGATATCCAAAATGCAATACAGTATGAACAGGTATCCTGGATAAATTAAAAACTCCACAAAGTCAAGACTTCAAACTCTTACTCTTCCTGAGAGATAAAAAGTTTTGACAGAATGTGAACAGGTTAAGCTGACCCATCACCTTCCAAAATTTTCTGGACTATTTTCTTGATTCTGGGAGCTTCTGGGTCCAGGCAGAATTCCTTCCCATTCTTCAGCTTGGCTCTGCAAGACAGAACATAATTTATCTGTGCGTCCTGGTCTATCAGAAGGTATCCATGGGGCTGGACAAAATAGAGTCCGTGGGGATAGAGGCAGAGGGCTTCCCTAATGAGTCAAAATACAGAAGCAGGGACTTACATCACTTGGACTTTGGGGCAATGAGGTCCTGCCCTGATCACCTCCAATTTCTGGATGTTGCTGGGATGAATGCCAGAGGTGGTCTTTAGACACAGGCAGCGAAGCTCAGCGTACCGCTCATTGTCCACACTTTTAGCTAGGATAGACACTGTGGCTCTATTAGCAGTCGTGATTATCTTAAGGATCTTGTGTATTGACTTGTTTCCTCAGCCCCCTTCTTTGTGAATTGTAGCTCTCTCACAAAGCTATTGTTAATATGACCTGAAACCTTTAGTAAAATACCCTAGCCAAATGCCTGGAACATATGAAGTGCCCTCTAAGCCTAGCTCCTCCATTTAGACTTATTAGTATAATGGCTTTCTCCAGCCCCAGGAGCACCATGACAGTGTCCCCCAGCCCTGCCCCACACAGAGCTGCAGCAGAAGCAGCCATTGATTGGTACAGGGAAACAGGGACTCCACCTTCATCTTTCCCTAAGTTTCTCTTACTTTTTCCGAAGGTAGAGGAAACCAGCATGGTCAGGAGCAGCGACAGTGGCAGCAGCACCTGTAAGACACGAAGTGGGCTGGTATAGGAGGAGGTGGTGCTGGGTCTGAGGCTCATGGTGGAGAGAACTGAGCTAGACTTGTTCCTAGAGCCAGGAAATCTCAGTGTGAGGGCGAATTGCGGCCAAGCAGTCTCCAGCTAAGTGGCTTTTCACGCTCTCCTGAAGTCTTTTATACATACTCCCTCAAGGCCAGTAAGGAGAAAAAGGATAAGGACTAGGGATGTGGGGGGGGGGGTGAAAGTACATGGTTATAAATGTAGAAGAGTGGTCAAGTTATGCCCAACCCAGATAAACACCAGGCAAGTCAAATTTCCTGCTAAATTTCATTTTAAGTATTACTTCCACTCCCAGTTTCCGTTTCTCAACATCTATCTCCCTTACACATATTTAACACTCCCCCTAGGTGAAGAATGAGACTGATATATTGCATATATTTTCTTTGTGTAGCTAAGTAATATGCCCTGTCTTTCCCACAATGCATATTATAGGTGTAATGCATACTTTACAAGTACCTGAAAGCATAAACATTGTGACCCTTAAAAAAGAGTGTTCTCTACCCTTTCCAGTTTTGCACTATATGAATTGCAGTAAGATCTTTATTCCTCAATTTTCAGATGCTAATTAAGAGTCTTGATCTCAAACCCTACTTGGTATAGACAAATCCCCACAGGGATATAGATATGGCCCTACACATCACATGCCAGATGTATATGTTATTATCTATATCTCTGCCCCATCTATAAGACTTGCTTCCTTGGGGTGACCAGTTAGCTCAGCTGGTTAGAGCGTGGTGCTGATAGCACCAAGGTTGCCAGTTTGATCCTCTCATGGGCCACTGTGAGCTGTGCCTTCCCTAAAAGGGTCAACTGTGCCATTGTAGCATGAAAGCAATGTGTAACCAATGACCATGGCTGATCCCCAATAAAAAAGAAAAGACTTGCTTCTTCAATTGGACTGTACAGTTTCGAAGGCAGAGGCTTGTCTGAGCCTCCTTTGAATGCCTCATGTATTGTATATGTAGGATAATGCAATGTACATTGGGTCCTAATCAGTGCTAGTGAATAAATCAAGGAATATGTATCACATGAAGGCAAGTTTCTCTTTCCTTTCTAATCAGCTACAATTCTCAAACCAAACTCTACATGACCCAAAGTACCTATGGTATAAAAAGGTGATTGGAGGGTTAGGCATAAAGGGTGAGGACGTGGCCACAAGTTGTCTTCCTCTTACAATTATATACAAATCTTATATAATATTTAAACTTCCCATTTTCTTTTTTGCTTTTTTTTTAAGCTTTTATTGGGAAATTGGAGGATGGGAACAGCGCTGGGGAATTGGAGGAAGGGGAACAGACAAGTTGCTGTCCTTTTGTTCTTCAGTCTAGTTATGGAGGACGTCGCTTCACTGACCCAAGTTGGTATTATCATTGCGCTCTTCCCCGGAGAGGCAGTCACTCACATGCCATTGGATGGCTGCTTGCGGTGGCTCACGAAAGCGTACACCCGATGCCAGCAGCCCTTCTGCAGCCTATGCCATTCCTAGCAACTCATCTTAGCTGTAGGGGGCGCAGTGTCTCTGGCCCTCATGTGGGATCCGAACTCGGGCCCTGCTGCTCAAAACTGGCGTCCCAAGCCAACTCCTAACCAACGTGCCACTCAGCCGGCCCTTTTTTACTTATTTTTTTTTTATTTTTTATTGTTAGTTTCAGGTGTACAGAACAATGCAATAGTTACCCTTTTCACCCTCACAAAGTAACAACCCCCCTCCCCCCATCCACTGCCCTCCCACCCCCGATATCATGCTTATCTATTACAATTCCATTGAATCCGTTCCCGCACTCTACTCCGTGTCTCCGAGGTTATATGTATATATAATTATAGTTGACATACAGTATTATTCAACATCAGTTTCAGAAATACAATGCGGTGGTCAGGCCTCTACATCAACTATGAAGTGGACTAAACCTTTAAAATTTTTGGAAGAAACTCTTAAAATGTTAAATGTAGAACATTACTTTTTATCAAAAGAATGATTACAGTAAATAATTTTTCCAACCTTTAAAAAACCTTTTAAGCCAATTTTTCCTCTTACCAGCTACTGACGATGCCAACTTAAGTTCTTAGTTCCTGTTTTTCAACGTATTGCTTATGTTTCTCCATTCCATTTGTTTTCTTCTTATAACTTACAGTGTTGTAGTAGAAAATATTAAATTGAAATGATTTTCCACCTTTCCCAAAACAGAAATTCATAGTCTAAGAAACAAGCTTGAGGAAAAGCTTACACTGAAAATTAGTGTCCTTCTAAGAGCTGAGATATGGAGTGAATTGCAGAGAATCTCAACAGGAAACAAAAAATGGAGAGTAAACTTCTTTCTAGTTCTTCCTAAGTAATGATTTTATAGCCTTTCCCCATTATTGTGATTGAAACATTATAAACTTGCAAATCAGATTTTTTTTTAATTCAAACAAAAGCTCAAAACCATTTCCAGAGCAAGATATAAAGGTTTTTAGCATTGTTTATAGTATCTTTCTTCTGTCCATTACAACCCCCAACACATATGGTTTACAATATTTATTGGCTTCACTGGACACAAACACAATCCAAATTTCCGGCTTGGTTCATTTAGTAAGATTACTCAAAAGTTCTTAATCCTTTTGGGGAAACTATATCAAAAGTCTTCTGAACTAATGATGTTATTTGAGTTAGTCAGTACCAGGAAAGATGCAGGCATATAGCACAGAATCACCAAGTCATTGTCTTAGTCAACAAGTGTGTTTTGTCACAAAAGATACATTTGTCAGCAAGGTTCATGAAGAAGTATTAACAAATTTCTTGAGTCACTAAAATTTTGCAAGCCCATTAGTCAGCATTTGAGGTAAATAACAATTTTTTGCTAGTTTTCACTTATTTAATAAGTTTTGATTAAGCATTTACTATGTTACAGGCATTACAAAATTCTCTTTGTTGTGTGACTTAGTCATTTAACTATTTCTTTTTAAAAGGTGAAACCTCAAATATTTGGGCAAAGCAGTGGAATTTAAGTATTATTCTACTATTGCTACTACTACTGGTAAATGCTATTACTCTCATTTGCATAATTTTCTTTGATTTCTATGAAAACACAATATAGACACTGATAAACTGACTGTACAAAATTTTTAAATCAGTTATTCAATCAAAAGAAGTTAGTTTTTACAAAATTATAACTTGAATGCTAGAAAATTAGTGTCAGAGGTTCTTGGGTTTGAAAATAACTTGACAGCCTTTTTGTGAATCTTACATTGTCACCCTGGTTTTTTTTTTTTTTTTTGGTGGCAAATTACTTTATCTTTTTTTCCTTTAAGTCATTGTATAAATGGCAGAGTCATTCAGGAAACGGGCAAATTTTCTAAAACTCAAAACAAAACTTGGATCTGTTAGCTATTTTAAAAAGAAACTATCTAGAGCCATTGGAGGACCACTATCCATTAAAATTAAGACATATATTAACTCTGCCTGACATAGAAAAATTTGAATTACATCTCCCAAGTATGAAGGAAATAAGCTATCACTTGTGAACTAATCATAAAAGCAATTGGTAAAGATCCCAGAGAGAATAAAATCTGGGGAGAATAGAGTTTGTTAAAGCACTTTAATCAATAGATTGAAATTCTAGCCAACAAAAGATTCCTTATAAGTGCTGAAATCAAATGATTTTCTGTATATCTCTGAGTTGACAAGGACGATCCAGGCCTCAATTACCCTGGCACCCATTCAGTTAGGGCTGCATGCTGCACAGAGGTGAAGCATGAGGTGGGGGTGAGGGGGAATGGGGAGGGTGAGGAGCTGAGGAGGATATATCATCCTGGGTGCTATTATACAGGATCACTACAATATTTTGCAGGCTTGAGAAATTTTATTTTTATTTTATGTTGATTAACATCATTTGGTTAACATTAGATACATGATGATCCTCTTTTACTGTGTAACAATCCAACTCAAACTTAGTGGCTTACAACAACAGTTTATTATTTTTGATATTGCTGTATGCTGACGAGAAGTTCTTCTGCTGTCTCTTGCCTGAGCTCACTTAAGTGAGTGTAGTCAGAGGGAAACTGACTATATGACTACATGACTACATAGCCCATGGCCTAGGGAACTCTCTCACCCAAAGTTTTATACCCACTCACCAGGGATAGCCCATATCTAATGGCTGACCTCCCATGCCACAATTCAGAATATCTCTGAAAGACCATCCTAGCTCCAGAGCCACTCGTAGGACCACCTGAATCTTTTGTCGTAACAGCAACTCTTCCCCTGCCCAATGCTGTTTCCTTATTGCCTGAAAGTTATTACTTTTTAGAACATTTCTCAATAAACTTTCTGCATATAAACTCAGAGTTTGAGTCTAGGGACTCCTACCTAAGACATTTTCTCTCTCTCTTTTAAAAAATCTAGTCCCTTTTCATTCAGCTTTCAAGAAAATCTTTGTCAGAAAAAGCTGAGTATATTTGCTGCTGAAAGACCTTAACTTAGGCTGAAAGCTTCTCATCTTTGTCGCCTCTACTCGTGCATCATAAGGATCCTGCGCAAGGTCCAGAATGTAACAGGATTATCAATAAACGATATCAAATATATTGGTATTTGAAGGGTCAATGTTTATAAGAAGGAAATACATCATACATTCTGATAATATTACCACATAGTTGACTAAAAATATAGAGATAATATGAACGCATTGTTTACAGAAGCTCCTGAAAAAAGACTGGTGGAGAAATTTTTACAAGCACTAAAAGTTAATCATTCATGCATAGGTAGAAAGAATATGGATAAATCTGAAAAAAAAGCATACTTAAACTATCGAGCTCTTAGTCTTCCCATTTGTAAAAATAAATTTGAATTAGGAGACTTGAAAGAAACCATATTTATCAAGCATCTACTTTGTTCCAGGATAGCTCTTAGTGCCTGAGAGAGAGATACTATTGTACTGATTTTACAGATAAAAACCTGATGAACGGAGATGTTAAATAAATTGCCAAGGTCACAATATTAAAAATACTCAAAGCTAGATTTGAAACGCAATTGCTCTGACTTTCTACTGTACCACAAACTGCAAAGAACTATCACTGACCTCTCTTGCTGGAAATGAATCGACTGTTTTTCTTTTTGTCCAACACTAGAGGTAGGTCAGACACAATTATCACACACTTAATGTGCCAGTGGAAACACATCTATTAAAAACAGATTTTTTTAGTGTCAGGGGTGATTTTGAAATTTCTCAGTATTTAAGAAACAGGACTACCCTAGAAACAAAATTTCACATCTAAACTCTAGGTCTTTGTATGTTACTATTTCACTCTAGATATTTGAAGTATAGATAATCCTTCTCAGGACTAGAATACTAATTTTGCTGACAAAAAGCTACCCATGATCATCAGCCGAAATCAGAATCACGTGCACTTTCCTTGTCTTCCATAGTCAGGGAGGCAAACTGAAATCCCCAGGGGCTCGTCTGTTAGGTAAATTTCTCAATTTGTAACATCCAGGAAAGAGTTCTATAGTTATGTACAATATGAGTTACCCACAGTAATTATTTTCCTTATGCAAGAATTAAAACTATGATAGAAAAACAAAGCCACTAGTCATATTTTATCATAGATCTTGTCATACTTTCAGGAATTGATGTATTACATGAATGTGTCACACTAGAGGCAAACAGGAAAGTCTGGTAGAATAAAAGGCATTAATTACACATTGAAAATTGTCTAGATTGGGGCAGTAACATAAAGTAGATTTTAGAGGACATTTGTTCAATTCCTGGTGATTTCATATATGAGAGAGTTTTAAGTGGATAACAGAGCAAAAATGGTATTTAGGGGCTTCCATGAGAAAAATATAAGACGTATCCCTAGAAGATATATGTTAAATTAATTTAGTTAGTTCTTGAGTTTACTAGTGACAGGATCAAGAATTGGTGAGTAGTAACTATCATTGAGCTTTTTGTATAGGCTATATTTCTGGTAATATATTATAATCTATTTTCTTTATAGAGAGACCAATTATAGCATAAGCATGACAAATAGAATTGTAAGGAGATACAAATAGGTCCTATTCTATGGTTTATGAACAAACTGAACTTATAAATCTTGATTTGGGGAAAAACAAAGACCTTGAATGATGATAAAGGAAAGTAAACCAGTAATGTTTATTTCTTTACAAAACATATATTTCACCCATCCAGAGGGCATTTAATATGCTTTCATTTATTATTACCAGGCATGAGTATTTTGAGGTTGATATGAAAAATTAGGCATTATTTAAAATGCTGGAGTTCATAGTTAAAATATTTATGATAATTGGTATTCATTTTTAGTGTTTCCCCAGGATTAGTGTTTAATTCATAGGTCCAAAGGAAAAAAAAACTATTTGAAAGAGCAAAAAGACACCTCAGAAGTTTATATATTTCTTTAAAACTTGAGGTATTTTTTGCTTTTCTATAGTGCTGAAAAATCATCAACAAACCCATCTCTTTAACTCTAATCTAGGCTTTTCCATATCTTTGTATCTCCCTGTTTCTCCCTCTCCCTTTCTGTTACATAGATATATAATATATAATAGAAAACATATTAGTCTAATTGATATTTTATTTATAAGGAGAGAGACAAAAAGATATAAAACAACAAATTAGATATAGATATGCTAATGATGTATTAGTATATATGAATATATACAAATACATGCCAATATAAGCATATATAATATATTAATCCAATTGGGGGGGTGCCTATGCATACTGATTGGATCAGTCTCCTTTCTTTTCTTTTCTCACTTTTCCTAAGAATGAGCTATTTACATGAAATTGCTATTTTAATACTAGAGAGATAGTGGGACTTGTTTGGCGTAGCTCACTCATCTGTTTAAGCACCTGCTATGTGCTAGGCACTATCTCAAGCTATCATAACCATTGTAAACATTGTCCCTGCCCTGATGGAACTTACAGTGAAGTTGGAATAGACTCTAAATAAAAGACCACATGTATATCGTCTCTATAGACTCTATAGTCATGTGGGTAACAAAATGTTATAAAGGAAAAGAATAAAGCTCTATGAAAGAATATAAAAGGAGCCTTAAGATGACAGAGGCCCTAAGTGACAGGCAAATTGACCCAAAGGAAGGATGGGAGTCAGCCAGATGAAGGTGAGGGATCTGCGTATGCCAAAGCTCTTGTTGGATTACTCATAGACAAGAAGGAGAAAAGAGGATAAAGGAATTACAATTTATTTCACACCTACCGTGAGCCAAGTTATTGATTTTAGGACACAATCTGACAACCTGAGGTTCAAGACAACTTATTAATTCCTTAAGCCAATCTCTGTCAGATGTGGGGGATGCAGGGGAAAATGAAATATGGTTGATGCTCTGTGAGAGCTCTTAATAGAGGAGGGAAAGGAAACCTCTAAACAAATAATAGCAATGCCATATTTGCTGTTCAAATAAATTCAAGTATCTATGGGAACATCAAAATGGAAACCACAAATTTTGCAGGGAGTGCCAAGGAAAACTTCCTGAAGGGGGTATTGTTTGAACTGAGTTCAGAAGGGTAAATAAGCTTCTTTCTAGAGGCAGAAGAGGAATGTCTCTTCCTGGTGGAAGCCCTAGTAAATGCACAGGCATGGACCCAGGAGAGAGCTAAACACTTGACTGCAAATATGGGAGAGAAAAAGTGAACTTGAAGGAATAAGCAGGAGTTGAATGAAACGGGACCTAACTTGTCATGCTTCCCCAATTTTATTTCATGTCTAGGAAATAGCATGCCAGTTAAGGATTTAAGATAAGGAAGTTTTATCTATTTGTGTTTTCTACAGAACCCAGAGGCTGTTGGTGCAATGAAGGAGTAACTGGGAGGGGCATGACCTTGGAGAAAGGCTGAACTAAAGCAGTGGCATTGGGAAATGGGGGGACCTCTCTGCTAGCCAGAGAGGAACCCAATTAATTTTCAAAATAAGGTAGGATTAAAGAAAAATACAATTTTTGTAACAGTATAAGAAGAAACAGCATGAGTAAATTTATATTTTATTTTTTTCCAAAGAATAAAAGAAGCACTATAAACCAAAGAGACACACAATGAAAACATGCAATTTTAACATAGTAAATGTGATAAATATATAATCTTTATAACAAAATGGTCAAAACCTTTTGAAGATCTAATATAAGCATCTATAACTCTTAGCAGTGTTGTGTATTTTTTTGAAAACTAAATGATGTATCTATATTCAAATAGCTCAAATATATTTTCAAAGCGTTCAGAGTACAGATCATTATTAAGTTTGCTTTATTCAAAAAAACAAAACAAAACAAAAAACCTAAAAGAATGCATTTCTATAAAAACTGGCCATAAGGAATTTACCTATTTCCTAGCTGCTTCAACTATTCGAGGCATACATTTAGTGAGTAAAATTATGGTACTCTTAATAAAATAGTTAATACCTACAATATAAAATCAAAGTTTAATGAGTAAGTCATGACATTATGCCATACTAAGAAGACATTAAATGTCTGAAGTTATAAGAAAAGAATATATTATTCCTTATAGAATTTAAAACATTTACAAACTCTAAATAAGGAAATATATTCTACATAGATAACGGTATGATGCACCCAGCTTTTTAATGCAATATAACTTAAATAGGATCCCAGTGTAAAGAGTAAGGAAACTCTCTAATATATTCCCCAAAAAACAATACTAAAATAGTTCTGATTTCAGGAGAAGAGTAAGGGTAGCAATTTATCTTCATATGTAGCATTCTAATGAAATGCCATTTTCATATTAAATCCACACCCTTTTCAGTAACACTCTAGGCAATATATTCTACAAATACACTAGTCACCTTGAAAGATTAAAAACCAGTGATTCTTGGCTTACTATTTAGTCAATTGCCAAAGATTTCAATAGCATAGCAAATAAAATAACAGCAAATAAATAGCAGGAAATACTATGTAAATTGCTTCATAAGCTGAGCAGAAAGCTGCAGGGACAAACATAGGTCCCTCCTCTCATCCTTCTCTGAAAGTGGGGAATTCATGTAGAAACCAAATTCCCAGGAGAAAATCGGCCTTTACTTTTGTTCTTCATCGGGTCCTGAGAGCTCCAGAGAACTGTTCTGCTGAAGAGCTGGGCAGTTTTTCCAACACACAGTCCTTTCTTTCAATTTTTCTTGTTTCCACTGTGGAGAAAATAATTCTACCAGTTTAACTAAATTTCCACATTCCTCTATGCAACCTGTTTTCAAAACACAGATCTTAAGATCAATAAAAAGTATAGAGTGGTGAACACACAATGCAATGTATAGATGATGTATTATAGAATTGTACACTAGAAACCTATATATTTTACTAACTAATGTCACTTCAATAAATTTAATAGAAAATGTTTTAAACAATCAAAGGTGGGGGCCGGCTGAGTGGTGCGATGGTTAAGAACTGGCTTGGGATGCCAGAGGGCCCCAGTTTGGATCCCACATGTGAGGGCCAGTGACACTGCCTTCCACAGCTAAGATGCTGAACAACAGCTCAACCTGGAGCTGGGCTGCCATGAGTCGCTGGCCATGGCGTAGGCTGCAGCCCCTGTGGCAGTGGGTTGCCATGGGTTACCATATGTAGCAAGCAGCCAGCGTGAGCGGCCAGCTGCCGCAGTGAGCGGCTGTCCAGAAGCCGGCGACTGATGTGCCTCGCTGGGAAGAGTGCAATGATGGTGCCAACTTGGGCCAGTGAAGCAACATTCTCCACAACTAGACTGAAGAACAAAACGACAGCAACTAGTCTGTTCCCCTTCCCCCAATTCCCCAGCTCTGTTCCCATCCCCCCAATTTCCCAATTAAAAAAAAATCAAAGGTGGACTCAAAGACTATACTAACAAAAAATTCATCTTAGTCATGAGTTCTGTGTAACCTCTGAGGCAATTACAACGCAAGATTGGTGATATAAGTTTTCCCTGGATGGTCCAGAACAACTTTCCCTTTTTCTCCTGCACAACCTTTGTATTTCAAGAGTAGGCTAGGATGTGGTAACCAAATCCCGTGCAGAGGATAAGGACCTCGAGCGAGAAGTCTGCACTTAAAGAGAGATCTAAAAACCATGAAGATAAAAGTGACAGGTACCTGTGCAAAATTTTCTGGATGATTCTCTTGACCAAAGGGGCTTCTGGGTTCAGACAGCTTTCCTTCCCGTTCTTCCAGGTGGCTCTGCAGAAAGAAAACGAGGATTCGCGCGTGAGCGCAGGGGCTGCAGACCCAGGCAGGGAGGACTTCTCTCTTGCCAAGCTCACAGTGTACACCACCGCACACGAGAACTTACATCACTTCTACTCTGGGGCACTGCGGTCCTGCGGCGATCACCTGCAGATTGGAGATCATTTTGGGATGAATCAAGGGTGTGTGGGTTAAACACACGCAACGCAGCTCTCTCTGCACGATCGATAGAGGACCAGCTGTGAGAGAAAGAGAGACACCGTTATATAGGGCAGGTTGCTGGAGGAGCTCTTCTCCAGCAAGTCTGGCCGGGGACACTTTCCCGGGTGCGTCCCGCGGGCAGTTCGCTCTCACCGCTCGCGAGGGGCCCCGGCGGCGTCAGTAGCAGCAGCGCGAGCAGAGCGCACAGCGACCTGGAAGGGCTGGGGACGAGGGCGGCGCGGCTGGACTGGAGACTCATTGCAGCAAAGAGGGTGCGGCGAGAGGAAGGAGGAGGAGGCGCGGGGATTTGAAGCTCCAGAGCACTGTGCCTTCCCCAAGCCTTCTGCACCCCTTATATCGGCACTTGCCCCTTCCCCCAGGCAGGAAACGCAAACTTTGGGATGCTTGGGAAATTCCCTGGACTGAGGAGGGGGGGGTGGAGGGGGCAGA